TCATATTATGATAATGTCTATCAAGAGCTTATTATATAACACTACTAGATGATATGGCATCCAAGTATGTTACCTTACTTGTAACTTTACAAGACCATATCTGGCTCAATTGTATTGTGTTTAGGCTTTTTCTGTTTTTCAGAAAGGTGGGAGAGGCTTTTTATAACTAAACCTAAAACTAACCTAACTTGTTTTGGGTTTGGGGTTTTTTTGTTCCTTTACTGGTCTTGGCAGACTCACTTCATAGAGTAAAACAGAGATAGCATCATAATAGGAAATATTTTTGCAAGGTTAGTATTTATTTTCTCAAACAGCTTTCTAATGGTTTTAACTTTTCTGAAAGGAGTTGGCTGGCCTTAGAGACAGACACCATCTTTTTTACCTACCAAAAACAGGGCCAGAAGGTCTGAACTCTGCATATATTCTACTTATAGCATTGACTTGGACTGTATCAAGAAGTGTGGCATTGAATTTGTTTTTCCTTTACCATCTCCAGTCTTCAGCAGTGATATGTCCTGCATGCTTCTCCAGCAAAAGACCAGCTTCCCAATATCCTTTCAAACAGCAATTCCCTTCTTTCCCTAAACTCAGGCAGTAGATGTTTGAAGTAGAATAACTTTTCATTTTCCATGGTCCAAATTGACTGCCACCTTTATTGCTCTTTCTGTGTCACTGTCAGGAGAGCAATCAGCAGGGAGAACACTGTGAGGGAAACAGGGACCTGAGCTAGGTGCTGCCTTGTACAGGCTGAGACAGAACTGGAAGAAGAAGGCAGAAGGCTAACCCCAAGCATGGCTGACAGTGGGGAATAAATGAGACGGCTGTGCTGGTAACAGTACATTATTAAAGCTGTGCAGAGAGCAGCCGATGCCATCAGCTGGGATGTCCGAGGGCCGCGGCGCTGCGTGCCCGCCCAGCGGCTCCCCCGCCCTGCAGCAGCCCCGGGCAGGGCCGATGAGGAGCTCAGAGGCGCCAGCGCCCCGAGCCCTGCTCGTTCCATCGGCCGCACCTCGCTCCAGTGCATGTGCACATTAACCAGCTGCTCCTCTGCCAGCAGCAGTGACGTGCCTGTGACAGCTGAACTGCTCCGGGACTCACAGACAAATGGAAGAGATGTGGACCTTTAAACTATTGTTTCAGGCCCCTTCAGATTCAAAAAAGAAAGTGTAGTATCAGTTATAAGTCAGAAAGTATCTTCACAGCTATTAATTCCTCCGTGTGTTTTGAGTGTATGTGCATTGTTTGCTTCATTCTTCTAATGAAAGTACACCTGCACTGGATTCAGAGAATCTTATTTAGGTGCTGTCAGCCACAATGCAGTAAACAAAAAGATCAGTCACTCAGTTCTTGCCAGCAGTTCTGATGGTCACACCTAATGGGATGGGAATTGTTAAATATGAAAACTGGATTGGAATTTTCCCTTTCTCTCATCTAAGTCATTAAGCATCCATATATTTGGATGCTAATGACTTGTATTCACCATAACTCCCAGTGGGCTGATACTGGTGACCTATGTGTTAAAGAGTTTCGACTCATTACAATCCACTTGGAGGTGCATTCTTCAGAGCCTCATTTTTCTGGAATATTATTTCCAAAGAGAAAATAACCTACTTCCATCCATCACCAGCACATCTTTTTATAAATAGCACAGTGGTCATTCCTTTCACTATATATTAAATACAAACACTTTAAGAATAAATCCATAAAGCTTTTATATCATGCTTGGTTAAGAGAGATAGGTAAGAAGCTGAAACTTGAATTTCTTCTTATACACCATTTGTTTAGAAAATAGCATTAGCTCTCTTGTAACAGTTAAGAACTTCACTGTTTACAGAGAAACTGTATAACAATGCTGAGGTCTGAGGGTCTGAGAAGGTCTGAGTCTGTTTTTCAAAGACTAATATTTCACAAATGGAACTTTCCTTTCTAAATGAGAAATCTGTGCATTAATTTTTACTAAAGGCAATTTCTGGAAATTTCAGGCATGATATAATTTCCCATATTCCGGACTGAACAGAAATATAATGCAATTCATAGGCAATGAAAAGTGACCAAAAAAGCCTATGAAAAAAAGCCTGTAAAAAGCCTGATAGAGTTTACCTAAGTCAGGCTGCAAACATTGCAAGGCACAAAACAGTAAACTGTACAGTGGTGAGAAAACACACGTTAATAGTGAAGAGATACAGGATACTGGAGTAAAAGGTGAAGAGATTAGTCTCAATGCACAGAATCAGATATTAGATTATCAGTTTTTAAAATTGGTACTATGAATAAGCTGTGGTTCAGTGGGTGAGGTCAGGTTGTTTGCAAAATGAGATTTAAATCCACTGGTAGAAAAGGCCCTTTTAAGAACTTTTGTAATCATCAATCAAAATGAAATTACTGTCTAAAGTGATCTTTTATTAACATTTCTTGACTTTGCATGTAAGTAGAGAGGAAGAATGTCTTCAAAGTCTCATTTTATTTGTTTTACTTTAAACTAAGACATGTCATCTTCTTTTTTGCTTTTTTTAAAGAGCATAGTCTCTATGTTTTATTAAATAAGACCTAACTAAGTGTGTTTTATTTTTCAAGCTGCCTGCCTCTGCAGAACCATGAAGTTATCATGCCAACCCTGCTGTTATGGGGAGAAAGAGATGCATTTATGGAAGTTGAGATGGCAGAAATTACAAGGATTTATGTTAAAAATCATTTCAGATTAACTATTTTGTCAGAAGCCAGTCATTGGCTCCAGCAGGATCAACCTGACATAGTGAACAAGTTGATATGGACCTTTCTTAAGGAAGAGACAAAAAGAAAAAGAGAATGACTGTTTGTACATGTTTTAAGGGGTCTAAATAAAAGCTCTTCGGATTTAAAACCTAATTGTTATCAGGGCCATATTTCCAGCCTGCCTTCTATTTTGAGCTCTGTTAGAGAAGTGTTTTCATTGTACTGTACATTTGGACACTAATCGTACAGCTAAAAGAAGTGAGTATGAGAATATATGATACCAACATTGGTTTTACCTGTATACTTGTATTTTGCACATAAAAACACCTGCCTTAAAATACATATGTATTTGTACAGAAAGAAAATCATGGAAAGTTGCTTGGTTTTGTTTTCCCCCTTGCTTTACAGTTGTAATGTGTGGTGCCTTTTACAAATTTATAATGAAACAATAGAGTGGTGCCATACTGAAGAAAGTCACAAGTTTTCATTCTAGATTTGCCTGAATTTTTTTAATGTATTTTACCATTAAACAGTAACTCTTTTTATCTATATTTTAGCATACTGAATGATTGAAAATTTTCTGGGTACGTTTCTAGTCTTCAAGTGAATAATGATCCGTATCTTGTTGTATTGTTGAGTGCAGCTGCTTTGCGCAATGTGTTTTTCTTTCTTGACTAAAAAATGGGAAACCTGTACACTCCACATGTCTGAACAAGAACAATGGAAAATTAAGATATAACATGTATCAAATCCACCTCTGTCTAATAAAATGCAACTTACAAGACTCCCTTTACTTTATCTGTCTTCCTATGGAGAGATTTGCTGAAGCTAAGAACTGAGTTTGAATAGCTGAAGCGTCTGGTCTGGTATTCAGCCTGGACACTCATGCTATGATTGTTGTCAATTTTTGAAAATAATGCCTCATTGTTGGCATTATCCTTCCTATGTCAGCAACTACCGTTCTTGTCTCCAAGTACTGCTGCCAAGTTCCTGTGTTTATAGGAGAGAGAGACGCAGTGATTATGAACACAAAGGGTAGAATTAACTTGCGTGTGATGGCAGGGGAGAAGAAAAACTTAAGCTAACTACAATGGGAAAAGAAGCAAAAATACAAGACCGCAGAAATGGTGTCACCTGCCTATCAGGTTTCCAAAGCCTCCCTCTCCACCTGCAGAGCAAGTGCAGTGCCCTGGAATCAGAGGTGAACAAGAGGCCACTGAGGGAGGCATCAGGGCCAGGTGAGCCTGAGCAACTGTCCACACTAAAGTAGAACAGAGCTGGGAGATGCTGTGGAGTCCCAACACATCCCCACACTGCCAATTGGGTCATCCCTTTCGAGCCACTGTGTCCCACTCGGTGTCCCACACCCACTCGGTGTGGGTGCACTGTAACCCTCAGTGTAATCCTCTCCAAGAAGGACTAAGCGGTGCTGCCTGCCCAGCGCTAGCTCATGGCTGGAGACCTGCTCTCGTCCCCAAATCCCAGCAGAATCTCCTCAGGATCACGACAGTGGTGTTATATTTGCTTCTTTCCATAATTTCAAGCATTTTCAAGCATTTTCCCCTGAATACTTTCAGCACTTATGAACGCAAATGGTTATGTGCTTCTCTTACTTACACTATGAAGCTGGAAAGGCTCTCCCTTGTCTCAGGAGGTGGCACAGAGAGACTTCTATCACCTGTGCAGCAGTTTTGCTGTGGCAAGACAGACAGTGCTGGGGAGTGGGATTGTCCTGCGGAGCACCGGCTGCTCGGAAACCGCAGCCCGCCCCGCTTCCTTCCCCGCGGCAGGTGCACACGGCAGGGGCGGCCGCAGAACGCCGGGCCCCTCACACGAGGGCGCGGCGCTCGGGGGACGCGGCGGGAAAGGCCTTCGAGTGCGGGAACGGCCCTCGAGTACGGTAGCGGCCCTCGAGTGCGAGAACGGCCCGCGAGTGCGAGAACGGCCCGCGAGTGCGGGAGCGCTCCGCGGTGGGAACGGCTCACGTGTGCGGGAGCGGCTCTGGCGTGCGGAAGCGGCCCTCGCGTGTGGGGCGGAGCCGCGGCCGGTAGGGGGCGCACTCCTAGCGGCACCCGCCCTCGGCCCGCTGAGGCACCGCCCCATCAGTGAGGCCCCGCCCCCAGCAGGGAACCCGAGGGGAGGGTGTGGCCTCCCCGATGGGGGCGGGGCCAGGCTGGCAACATCGGCTCTCATTGGTGGAGGCCCCTGCTGGCCCCGCCTCGCAAGCGGCGCGAGTCCCGCGGCGCTCCCGCTCCGGGGCCGGTTACTGCCCGCGCCCCGAGCGCCGTTCCGGTGCTGTCCGTGAGTGCGGCGGCCCGCCGCCAAGGCACCGACTGTCCGGTGTCTGTCGCCGTGCCGGGCGCGGAGCGGAGTGGCGGCCGGTACATGGCGCGCTGCGGCGGCGGCGCAGCGCCGAAGGGCCCCGGCCCGGCGGCGGCGGAGCGGCAGCGGCTGAAGGAGGCGCTGGCCGAGCAGCTCCGGCAGGACCTCGACAGGTGGGCGCGGGGCGGTGGCCGAGCTGGGGCGGCGCCGGGCGGGGCGGGGACACGCGGTAACGGTGCCGTCCCGCAGGCTGCTGGCGGAGGGGACCCACTCCGACGTGACCTTCCAAGTGGGCGACGAGGAGGTGCGGGTGCACCGGGCGGTGCTGCTGGCGCGGGCGCCGCTGCTCTGCGAACGTCTGGTGGGGAGGCAGCTGCAGCTGCACGGCCTGGAACCCGCGGAGTTACGGGAATTGCTGCGGTGAGTGCGCGGCCGCGGCAGCATTGATGGGCCGGCCTCGGCATCACCGCTCCTGTGTCCTGCCTCTTCCTTTTCTCCCAGTCCCAGCACCTGTTTTAAAGCTTTTCCCATTCAAGGCAGTACTCTCGCAGCCTTCCTGCAGAGTTTGCAGAGGACTTTCTGTAACTTCTTCCTTTTCCTCTGCCTTTTCCCTTCTGCTGATAGCACATGGCTGTACTCTCCACCTTAGAGTGCTTTTTTTTTTGTATGTAAAGGACTTGTAATAGAAAAAGAAAAAAACAGCAAAAAATCTTTTGAGACTGTCTGTGCCTACTAAAACCCTTTTCAGGAAGAATCCCAGAGGAAAACTGCAAATAAAACCAACTCTCAGCTCATATTTGAAAAGGTTATGGTATAGGACTCAAAAAGAACTTCAGCAAGTTGGATGAAAATGCATTAAGTTCGAAACTCATCTCTCAAGTCCTAGTGAACCATAGGCCAAACACAGCCTAGCTTTGGTGCAAGCTGGGATCTCAGAGGGAGGTGTGTGGGCTGGCTGCTCCCCAGGGACTAGTGCAAGGGCCAGCATGTTTTTGCACTGCCAGCTATTTTCCTGGTGCCACATATGCAACATCTCTCATGTCTTGCTCCAAACCTTAGGTGAGTTTCATGAGGGGTGTTGGCTGGTGCTGCCACCAGACCTTGCAATCCTCCTTGTAAGTTCCTCTAATCCCTTTTTTATATTGCCACCTACTTTCCCTAAAAAAGAGTTGGTGTTAGAGCACTTACAGGAATGCACGAGGAGCAAAGTAGTAGAAAGAAATCATTCTGGGATATCGCATGAATTCAGGATGTGCCTAGAAAATGTATGTACTTGCAGGCTCCTGAGACTGTTGCCAACAGCAATGGGATAGTGTTGCAGTTTTAAAGTTTAGTCCTTGAAACACAGCCTAATTATGAAAGAGAACTTTCTGAGCTCAGAGTAATATCTGAAACATAGAATCCTTGTAGTGGAATCCTTGTAGGTTGATTACAGGCATTTGCTGGGTTACTGCCACAGCGTGGCAGGAGAATTAGCAAAACAAGTGGTAAGAAGCAAAACAGCATGGGTTTTGTCTTGTGTTTTTCCTGATTTCATTGTTACTGTGATGCCATTAATTTCTTTCACATTCATCTAAGTGGTGTTACAGAAGAATTTCATAGAGAAGTAGGAGAATGCAATTAAAAAAAAATGAAATTAATTTTGAAACAATTATTCTGAATAATTATTTATATACTGTTATATCAGGGGCTTGTATTCCTAATGCTAAGCACTTAATATGTCACTGATACTTGCTTTCAGTTTTGTCTGGGTTTGCTGTAAGGCAAGGAAGTTCTTCATGTTCTCTAAAAAGCATGGTATTGGAAAACACCTTTAAACTCAGCTCAACTAATTGTAAACCTTGTGTCTTTTTACAGTGAGTTTAGAATCTTCAAATGAGCTCCCCATGTGTACAAAGTGTGCTTTGCAAGAAAATTGCTTTTTCTTAACTTAGTTTTCAGTGCTGTTTGATACTTCACCATTTGAGTCCTCTAACCTAGCACTTTCTGTGGAGATTGATGCTTACAGAGTGCACTGAAGTTTGAACTCATTTGCACCAAAGAAAGGATTGGTTGAAAAGAGCCTAATCCATTGTTCAGGTGATCAAGTAGTATCAGTGGCTGTTCAATCTCAATGGTTTCTTACTGTTACTTCATAAGTGCAAAACAGTGCCTTAAATTGGAGCTTTAGTTTTACTGGAAGCCAGCCTAGTTCTTGGAGCATGTAAACTGCATGATGAGTTGTAACAGAGACCCGTAGCTGCAGCTGAGCTTCTGAGAGAAAGTTATTTCTTCTACAAAAGTTCTGGTTTCTTGTATATATGGAGAAGTAGAATACTAGTAATAGTTTTGCAGAGTTCATCAAAGCTATAACAAAATCTCATTCCTTTTCCTGTTTGTATTCAGCTTTTTGTATTGCAGCTTTTTATTTTCCCAAGTAAAGCTTATCTTTCCATGGGGATTTGGGGACTTTATTTTCTCACAAGCTATATCTGGCCTGTCTCTCAGTGAGGCATGCTTCCTGTGGGCCTCTGTCTCCCTTCATCAGGAAACTTGAAGTGGGCCATGTGTCACTTGGGTGCTGAAGGCTGTGCTCCTCTTCCCTCTTGTTTGGAGCAGGAGACAGGACATAGTAAACTTCATGCTGATCTTTCTGCATAGCTTCAGCACAAAGTAGATGAGCAACTAAGCAGTGTTTTGTTTCTCTCTGTACACTTGCATTATCTGAGGACACCAGGAAGAAACTTCTGGTCCCCAGAGGTGCAGCATCCACACTGTAGACACTATGCATGCTACATTTGTCCCAGATGAAATTAATGCAACATTGACTCTGCCCTCCAATAGCCTTCTGTCATTCTTCAGGGCACAACTAGAAAAACGTTGACAGTTGCAAGTACATTGATGCTTGCCTGGGCAGGGTTCTGCAGTGTGCCTCAAGAAGAGAAACTCAGCATCCCTGAAGGATGGCTGTCTGTCACAGATCATTACTGTCTTGCCTGCTGAGAGGAAAACTGCTTTTTATTTTCTCTTGCAGTTGGACAAAATACTGCTTTAGCAATAAAAATCTAGATATTATCTCTTCATATTTCTATTAGAGGGTCTGATACAAGGAAGGACAGAGAAGGACCTAATGACGGTGAGATCCAGTTAAAAAGCAATAAATGCAATCAAATACAAAGGAATACGATTGTCATTGTGACAGTTACTGCCACAGGGGTTAGTTTGCAATACCAGCAGTTGATTTAAAGACCAGCCAAGCCTTTGACCATGTTATGCTTGCAGAATTCTGTATCAGGCAGGACAAGGATGCTACATCTTGTTTAAGTGCAGGCAGAAACCTTTTAGAAGGTAGCCTCTAAGACAGCATGATGGCAATAACTTCTTTCTGTAGAGTCTATGTATGCACACCTTTCCTTTGTATAAAAAGTCTCTTTTAGGTTTTTCTAGGGTCTTATCAAGGCATTTTAAGGATTTTTGGGGTACTTTTAGAGCTCCTTTAAGACTATTCAGGGTATTTTTAGGAACTTTTTAAAGGTTCTTTGGGGATTTTTCAGGATATTCAGGTTTTTTTTAATAGCTAGGGTATTAATAAAATAAATTAATAAAAGTGTATTTTAAGGGTATTCTGAGGCTATTCTTAGGGTCAGGATGAGTTACAGGTAGGGGTTGAACAGTTTTTTAGGGTTTTTTTAGGTTTTTTTCAGGGATTTTAAAGGATTTTTTTTTTTATTTTTTTTTTTATTTTTTTTTGGTTTTTGGTTTGGTTTTTTTTTTTTTTTTTTTTTTTTTTCCAGGAGTTTTTTAGGAATTCTCTGGGAATGTTTAGGATTCCTTTAGGGCTTTTTCAGAAACGTGGTGTATTTATGATCACTTCTCTCACCAGACCTGGTTGCAATCAGCACTGGATCCCAAAACTGAAGGAGAAGCCTTGTGTGGACAATTCCTCCTTCAAGGCTCAGCTCCAGTACCATGCTCAAGACCTGGCATGCACATGCATTTGGCAGGGAGTAGCAAATCAAGTGAAAGAACATTTCAGGGTTTTTTTTCAGCTGATTATTTAGGAATTTACTTGGAATAAGCTTCCTCCCCAAGAGGGATTTCAATTCTACACATGCACAAAGAGGAGAAAACATGAATGCAGCGTTGAGACAGCTCCTTGCTGAGAGCAGTGGTTTTAAGGTTAAGGCCCTTGTATATCTGGGAGGGTGAAACCTCTGTGTTCAATCCTCTGGGATCATCACTTGGGCTTCCTGTGCTTCTCAAGCTCTCAAAGTAAAATTGGCCCACCAAACTCATCTTTGTCTCAATCCTAATCCCTGCATCATCCTTCAGGTGCTTTTCCTCACAATGAAATTGGAGTAGAAAATGCTTTAGGAAATGCTTTGCAGCCCCTTCTTCCCCAAAGGCCCAATCTGCTTTAATTAGGAATGCTCTCCAAGCACAAGGTTTGGATGCAGCCAGTGAGACTCACATTTCAGAAGGACCATCAATGCTCTGATAAAGACACAGCACTTTCAAGCAGGCTGTTGGGACTGAGGAGGATATTTGAAACCTGTTGACATGCAGTTCTAGCAGAAGTGCAAAATATAATGCAATGTAGTAGAACTGGAAAATGAAATGCTGTTAGACAAGGCTGTTCCCCAAATTGGCCCTGCCTGGATCCAGCTGCCCTGCAGCACAGCCTTCTCCCTTTCTCCTCCCTGCCCTCTGCTCAGCACCGACCCAAACCTGGGCTATTTCAATTCCTGTCAGACACAGAGCAGCTGATGGGCAGCAAATGCAGCCTTCCCACAGTGGCTGCCCATGGCCCGGCCTGCGGGGCAGAGCCCAGGGAGGAGGTGGCAGCTTCCTCAGTGGCTTTTCATGTCCTCTCTCTGCCATGCAGACACTGGCATGCATGGCACGGCTCTGTTTTGGCAGCCGGTCCCTTGGCAGGGCTGGGTGAGCACAGGGTGAGCTCTCTCCTCCTTGCTGTGACACCTGGGCTGGCAGGGATGACACAGTGACATCAGCCAGCCCATGCTGCCTGTGCCATCACCTGGCACTGATGTGTTTGATGAAAATCCTTTCGCTGGGATTTTTCTCCTGAGAAGCCTCAGAACAGAAATGGAACCAGTAACGATCTGCTGGCTGTGGAGTGTGGGCTGGAGATGGTTTAGCAACAGGGGCATCTTGGATTGGTCTCCTGTGCATTGTTTCTACTTGATGACCAATCATGGTCCAGCTGCATCGGGGCTGTGAGCAGTCCCAGGTTTTTATTTTTCATTCCTTTCCAGCTTTCTGACGTCCCCTTGCCCTTTTAGTACAGTTCTAATATCTCATTTGCTTTGAATATAATAAAGATCATAAAATAATATTTTAGCCTTCTGAAAGGTGGAGTCAAGGATCTCGTCTCTTCCCTCGTCCTGGGGACCCTCAAACACCACTAGAATCACTGGCTT